TTCCTAATGTTTATTTCTAGGCTGAGTTCAATTTCAAAATATGTAGAGTTCAAATACTTGAAGTCTCAACTGATAGACAAGTACACTAGCCACTGTTCTACTGTAGCTTCCATAGGCCTAAAGTCGGTACAGAGCAGTAAAGTCAGGACAGGGCCCATTTCATGCCACTGAAGTCGAATCATTACTCTAGTGTGGAGGGGAAACATGGAGAACAACTAAGGCAGTTGCACAAAAACTACAAACGTTCATTAACCGAGGCCTACACAGAATAAAGGGCATTAAATAATGTCATAGAATCCCCAGTGTTGGGCTTGGAAGAGAACTAAACATGTTCCAGTGGACCAAGAGGTGAGGAAAAGACGCTGGCATTAGATAGGACACACATTAAGAAAACCTGAGAACAATATAACTAAAATTTCTGCGCACTTGAACACACAGGGCCATAGAAAAAAAGGAACACAAAAAACACATGGAAAAGGGAGAGTGCGATAGCGAAGGATAGAACGACTTGGCATGAGTTTGTTTAAGTGCCTATGCTCCAACGGAGGGAGAGCTAGAAGGCAGAAGAAGAAAACACATCAGGCATATGGTGCTAGACTCATATTTTGGTAACCAATCAGCACTTGATGGGTGAGGTCTCAGTAACCACCTTTCCTTCCCATGACATATCCTGGTACCTGTTATAGGGTGCATCAACCTGGCACCCTAAATGAGTTATATACATTTTCCTTGATTTGAAACTGGGAACTTTAGGTCAGAAGGCAAGTGTGTGTCCATTGTGCTACCCATACATCTATCTGCTGTGCTACCCGTGCTTCTGTCCACTGTGCTACCCGTGCTTCTTGATACTGTGCTACCCATGATTCTATCCATTGTGCTACCCGTGCTTCTATCTGCTGTGCTACCCGTGCTTCTTGATACTGTGCTTCTGTCCACTGTGCTACCCGTGCTTCTGTCCACTTTCCTACCCGTGCTTCTATCCACTGAGCTACCCATGCTTCTATTCACTGTGCTATCATGCTTCTATCCACTTTGCTACCTGTGCTTTGCTACCTGTGCTTTGCCATCTGTGCTTTTATCCACTGTGTTACCCGTGCTTTTATCCACAGAGCTACCCATGCTTCTATCCACTGTGCTATCGTGCTTCTATCACTTTGCTACCCATGCTTCTATCCACTGTGCTACCCATGCTTCTATCCACTGTGCTACCCTTGCTTCTATCCAGTGTGCTATCCATGCTTCTATCCACTGTGCTACCCGTGCTTCTAACCACTGCTGCCCATTGTTCTAACCACTGTGCTTCTATCTACTGTGTTACCCATGCTTCTAACCACTGTACTACACATGCTTCTATCCACTGTGCTACCTGTGCTTTTATCCACTGCTCTACCCATGCTTCTATCCACTGTGCTACCCATGCTTCTATCCACTGTGCTACCCATGCTTCTGTCCATTGTGCTACTGGTGCTTCATTCCACTGTGCTACCCTTGCTTTTGTCCACTGTGCTACTCATGCTTCTATCCACTGTGCTACCTGTGTTTCTATCCCACTGTGCTACCCTTGCTTCTATCCACTGTGCTACCAATGCTTCTATCCACTGTGCTACCCTTGCTTCTATCCACTGTGCTACCCTTGCTGCTGCATTATTGATTACAGGCATTGGTACTCTGAAAGATTAGTGCTTAGAAGGGCCGAATTTCAGAAAGGCCTGCCTGCTTAGTTTGTAACCCTTTGAAAATAAAGTTTGTTCGTTCATTTGTTTTGTCAATTGTGTTACCATTGCTTAAATCCAATGTGCTGCCCATACTTCTGTCCACTGTGTTACCCATGCTTCTATCCACTGTGCTACCCATGGTTCTATCCACTATGCTACCCATGCTTCTATCCACTGTGCTACCCATGGTTCTATCCACTATGCTACCCGTGTTTTTATCCACTATGCTACCTGTGCTTTTGTTGACTGTGCTACCCATGCTCCCACCTAATGGCTAAAATTACATATTCTCAGATGAGTTTTAGACATATTTTCTCTATATAAGCTTAACCTTAAAATGTTAATCCTCCAGACATTTGATAGTTGGAATATCTCCATGAAATGGTTGTGGAGGAACAACCTGTTGCAAACACTGCTGATTTCTCTTGTGAGGATGAAGGAACCGAAATGCACTCTGATGAAGAACACAGGCTGTGCCCAGAAGTCAATCAGTCTGATGGCTACTCCACTGCTAGTCCTGAGGATGAAGCTGCTAATGTTAGAGGAATGGTAGGTACTGGCAGAGAGTTGTAACTGTATATTAGATCTACAGAAATGATAGACACTATTAGAGAGTTTTTAATTTGCATCATATGGTACAGAAATGGTAAGTACTCCAGGTCTAACTGGCTTTATTTCAGTGTGTCTCAAACCTAGGGGGGTTGCAAAGACATTTCAGGGGTGGGGAGGAGGAGAGAGATCAGGTATTTTTGATATTGAGTTCATTTGTACTTTTAATAAATTGTTATAGACATATTTTTTTTCTGATGGTCAACATCACACTGGCCACCTTTACTTCCTATGACTGTACCAGGTGCCCATATAAGGCTGGGTCGACCTGGAAGCCAAGAATATTTTTGATCAGTGTCAGAGTGTAATAAATTTACACGATAAAATAAAAAGCCAAGAATATTTTTGATCAGTGTCAGAGTGTAATAAATTTACACTATAAAATAAAAAGCCAAGAATATTTTTGATAAGTGTCAGAGTGTAATAAATTTACACTATAAACTAAAAAGCCAAGAATATTTTTGTTTTCATAAGCAGTTTTTACATATTTGTTCTTCTTCAGCATTCAGAGCCCTTGCAGTTCACTGCTGCAGATATCACCCTCCTTCATTTATCTCTCTGGTTGGTCTTCTCTTGCCAGTTGGAGATACCAAGTGTTGGTAGGTCCATTTGGATGTTATCTCTCCATCGTCACGGGGTCTGCCTCATGATATATCCTTCAACTCCATTTATTTTACCTCATCATTATCATCTGACAGTCTCTCAATAAGCCTCAGCCATTTCAGTCTATTAGCTGTTATAATGCCAGTGATCAGGGGTATCTAAACATTTTCACTATTGCTTTTCACTTTCCATTCCCTTCTGTTTGTATGTTTGTTGGGTCTAAAGATTTGTTATAAGACTCTGTTTTTGCTAATTTGTAGTAAGGCTACATCTCCTTTAGTTGTGCTCCAAGTTTCAGAGCCATATAAAACAACTGGCTTATTAGCATTTTATATATTTAGATCTGGGTGTTATGAGACGTAGGCTCAACACAGTATAACGATCTTGTGCAGGGCTAGTAACTCGTGGTTGGCCACTGCAGCATTTATTCTGGGCACTGCCAGTGGTTTCTCAATCTTCATTGAGATGTACAATAGTGCTATGGTGGCAATTTATTCTTCTGGCAATGCCTGGGATCTAAATGAAATCTCCAGTATACTAATGGCTCTTTGTTGGTCATTTTCAGAGAGTTATTGGAAGCACATTTAGTGGGTGTTTTGTCTTAATGGCAATTTTATACTGCATATACTGTGACAGGACCTACATATTTTCAGGGTTATAGCTGTTGGGAATAATGTTGCACATGTAACTTTCATTGTTTTTATGTAGTCTGTACAGAAACCTGTAAGTTGAATCATGCACTTTCCATTCCAGTGGCCATTCACTCTCTGCCTCATGACATAACATGTACAATCCATTCCCACATTTTGTTTTCCACTTTCTCAGCAACAGCATATATTATAGTGGTGTATTTTTAACTCTTTAAGGACAGCATGTTTTCAGGGGTTTCGACAGCATTAATTTTGAGCGGAATTTTTTTACAGCAACCTGACAAAGCTAAAACTGTCCTGTTGAAAAATTACTGGCTGTATAGTGCCATGTAATACATCAAATTAAAGAGAAATGAATGCAGAATGCATGTAAACTATCTAAGGGTCAGTATTGCAACAATAACATATTAAAATCACACCATATCGATGATGTTAGATGCACAGGAATTGATTTTTGTCAGAAATGTTGTGTTTACCTAACTTTTTTTTGCTAGATCAAAAACACCTCTCCCCATTCTTAAGAATTCACATGCCTTCTTTATTCAGTTTTGTATCAGCTAGTCTTTATTTGAGACAATTATCCTGAATACTTTGCATTTTATGACAATTCTTAGGTGACATGCCAAATTTTAGAATAAGCGAATGAAAAGGAAAACTGAATTACTGAATTTTGTAACAGCAGTTTGACAAAGCTAAAACCATCCTGTTGAAAAAGTACTGGTGGTATAGTACCATGTAATACATCAAATTAAAGAGAAATGAATGCAGAATGCATGTAAACTATCTAAAGGGTCATTATCGCAACAATAACATACAAGAGTGACACCACATTAGAGGATGTTAGAAAAAAAAAAATATTTTAGACATGCAATGTTGTTCTTACCTTATTCTTTTACTTGTTCAGCTTCATAGCTATCCATTTCTAAGAATTCACATGCCTTCTCTATTCAATTATGCATCAGCTAGTCTTTCTTTGAAACAATTATTCCAAATACTTTGAATTGTATCGTTATTTTTGTCTGACGCGTCAAATTTCAAAACAACGGGGGGAAAATATTTACATAATTCCAGTGACGACTTAAGACTCTATTTATCTGACAATGATGATGATATTGATCTTGAATACAACCACCTTACTGGGTGTGATATGCCCTAAAACATGCATTGGGGCACAGATTAGGCTTGTCAGCACATCCAACACAGTAAAACATGTTGCGTTTTTTAATCTTTTTCTTGCTGCACTGTACACATTGCCTGTCTGCACCAGCATAGTCAACTAAATGGTCTGCCCCAACAAAACTGTCAGACAAGGCTGGCCTTTTGCCTGGTCTGCGAGCCAAAGCAATAATCATTTCTGTTGGAACTTTATGACCTGAGAGCGCAGTTAGTTGCTGGATGAGCTCGTCTATGAAATGTGCGAGACTCATTCATTGGGGGCAGCATGATGGGATAACATGTACAAGATGTGAGCATTGACCTGCGTCACTTCCATCATCCATGTGAAAACCTTTTTCCACCACTTCTTAGTTTTGCGATTGTAGTTACTATAGTATGAGACCATTTGATCCAAAAGATCACAGCCATTCAAACTAATATTATATGAGTGAATGGGGCTAGGTTTCTGAATCTTTCGACTCCCTTCCTGGCGTTCCTCAAATGTAGAACTTCCATTTGTGGTCAGTAGGATGCAAGGTTTTTTTGATTTTTTATCCCTCCAGGAAACGCAAAGGATATTCCGCTCATTATTAACTAACCATCTCGGAGTTCCAAAAATGGTTGGTTGTTGTTTTAGCTGCTGCGGTAATCTTTTGCGGTTTTTATTCACTGTGCCAGTATAATTCAATTTCATGGATAAAAGAAATTGAATGAGAGAGAGAGTGATGTATAAAATCTATCTGCAAATAGATGATGGTAACTTGCAACACCCTGCAGTAGGGTTAAAAATACTTTTACAGCATGAGTTGATGTTAGATCAAGCTCAGGATTGTAGGCAGTTTTTGCTCCAAAGTAAATTAGCAGATTATAAACATAGCCTGTGATTGAATCACAAAGATCAAATGTGAGGCTTGGCTGCATTGTACTGTTTAGCATGAAACCTGCCTTTGAAACCAATCACCATCTCATCAACAGAAAGATTTTCATATGGGTAAAATGCTAACGGAAACTTTGCTACTAGATTATTCACAAATGGCTCAATCTTTGCTTTGCCTTGTGCGTTGGGTTCTGATGCATGCAGCATTGACTGGTAAACAAGCAAGAACTTAGTTCTTGGAAACATTACCTTGAGCCATGGTGTGAATTTGTGGTTCACTGTAGACCAGTAATCTTTGATGTCATGTTTCCCATTGCTATCACTACACTGATAAACTGAAAAAAATGTTCTCTAGTCATTGGCTGCCACTCAGACAATGTAGATCTTTTTCTCAATGGTATATTTTTCTTTATTTTTCCACTGCATAAAGATTTATGTTTTCAACAAGGCTGTCAATTATATCAGCTGTCAGCAGTGTCAATAAGCAATCCAGTGGTGTTGAATTTTCATCCAGTGGTGCCCGAATTCCAGACCCAGCTGATCGAAACAGGGACGATCCGATCGAAACACTTTCTTCAGCTTCATCCCGAGCCATAATGTCTGCAACAGATACTGCACGTGTATTATCATTATTTATAAGGTCAACACTATTGTTGTCACTATCTGGCTCAGATTCACCAACGACAGCAGCAGTATGGGCAGTTCTGTAGGCTTTGTTATTGTTCTGCTTTCCCTTACCCTTATTATTTAGTCTGGCGTGTTTTGCAGCAGATGGCTGATATTCTCGATCGTCATCATCTACATCATTGTCAGATAATTCAGAATCTAAGTTATCATCACTACTAGAATTATCTTCTTAATCTAACAACCGCTGCATAAGATCTAAAGCCTGCGTCTTTGTCATTCTTTGAGCTCTGTCTGCAGTGGATGTCAAAGAGTTGGAAGCTGCTATTTCAGAAAACTCACCCAAAAAAAATTATATCACACAGAATAAATCTAAAACAAATCACAAAGTTATTAACAGAACACGCTAATCTTCGCACTCGAAAGGACTTCATGTGGTGAATACTGATTGTTCAAAAACTGGTTCATAAAAGTTTGTTTTCCCCACAAACGGAATGAAATTAGAGTGTCTCTATCACGATCCAGTAAACTGGTTTTTCGTCCGTGAGTGATGGACTTGGAAGTCCAGTAAACTTGGGATTGGTCGGTAAAGAGTTAATGTGCTTCAGTGAATAACATATGCAGTAAGGCAAATTTGAATTGTAGCTGTGATGATACCAGCGATCTATCACTGTCTCAGAAGATAATTTTGTGTTTCCATAAAACAGGCTTTTTCAGCAGATGAAAGGTAGCATGGCTGAGTGTCTTTCAAATGTCCTTCTAGATGACAGATAGCTTTGGATTGACTGAATTTTCAAACTCCCCCCCTCTTTTTTTTTCTTTCTGGAGGTTCAGTCTTTGATGTAATGAAGCCTGCAGAGGACCATAGGTCTTTGATGTAATAAAACCTGCAGAGGACCACAGGTCTTTGATGTAATAAAACCTGCAGAGGACCACAGGTCTTTGATGTAATAAAACCTGCAGAGGACCACAGGTCTTTGATGTAATAAAACCTGCAGAGGACCACAGGTCTTTGATGTAATAAAGCCTACAGAGGACCATGGGTCTTTGTTGTAATAAAACCTGCAGAGGACCACAGGTCTTTGATGCAATAAAACCTGCAGAGGACCACAGGTCATTGTAGTGAAGCCTGCAGAGGACCACAGGTCTTTGATGTAATGAAACCTGCAGAGGACCACAGGTCTTTGATGTAATGAAACATGCAGAGGACCACAGGTCTTTGATGTAATGAAACCGGCAGAGGACCACAGGTCTTTGATGTAATGAAAGCTGCAGAGGATCATGGGTCTTTGTTGTAATTAAACCTGCAGAGGACCACAGGTCTTTGATGTAATTAAACCTGCAGAGGACCACATGTCTTTGATGTAATGAAACCTGCAGAGGACCACACACTTAGCATGCTTTGGGGCTAAACAGTCACATCCCATGTTATGTGAATAATAAGCTTGTAAGGGAAAAGGCAAGGAGAAGTCAAAGAGGTTTGTTTATTTAACTGGGTAGTTTGGCATGTGGACATTGGCAAGAGAAGAAAATTTACCATATACATGATTCTCCGGATAGAGCGAGATGTAAAAATCATGACCATCAATATTTTTTCACATGTTCATGATTATGAGTAATGTTTCAATATTGATAATGCGAACTTTTCAGGAGAGGAGATATCACTTTTGAGATAAAAGTCAAGTTATTGTGGCTCCTATTTTAATTTGGTGGCACTCTCAGAACCTGCTGTGACCTTCCTCTAAAAATATAACAGTTGAAAACTCTGGCTGTAGAGGATGATTTAAGAATTATTATTACTCTTTATCCTCCTTCTTTCAGCAGCACAACCAAGACCAGAGAGATGATTTTTCCATAAATATTGAGACAGAAAATGGGAATTTGAAGAGCCTGGAAGATTTTGCTTCATGTAATGATAATGTGAATGACAAGTCAGGCGGTGAGAGCACAGACCTGCTGAAAGCTCCAGATGGAGGATATGGTTGGGTCATATGTTGTGGAGTCTTTATGAACCATATGATTTTTGGTAACTTATTTTCTTGTAACTTATCTCTTAGCGTACATAGCTCAACTTTTGGCATAAATATAAAAAAAATAAAACATAAACAAATTAATTAAAAAATGTCATGCTAAATGTCATAACTGGGAACTGCAGTGGCCTGCATGTCTGTCTCATGTTCAGATCCACAATGGGGCAGATTTCTTTAATTGATCTAGGTCTCCTGGAATCCAGTGTTAAATTTGTGCCAGGAAAAGCTCAGAGAAGTAAACGATTCACTATGATGTTGACTACATCGCCCATTGTGTGCAGATTGCTCTATAAAATATGCGTCTAGCACCGTATCTCCAATACACCAAAGGATTTTTCACTTTTCTCAAGAAGCTTCAGCTGCATACTGTAATATTGTCCTGGTGTATTTTTGTGTGCATGAAATGATCAGCATTGTTTACTTTGTTGTAGCCATAGATGGTGTTTGAATTGAACGATCATTTCTGTGGCATTAGGAACAGTCCATTACGAGCTCTGATGCCCTTCTTGTTTTATCCCACAAGGAGGTTTTTAGCTCTGTATATGAATCTAGTACAGACAATCATCCTAGTATGTCTATCCAGAATTATTCATGTAAATAGTACTATGTAGGTAGGCTTTCTAATGTACAATTGTGCCACAATGGTAGTTGATTATAACTCATTCTTCACAATTTCAAGTATCTGAAGGATTTTTAACATGCACACAGGACTTATATTTCACCCTTAGCTTAAAAGATGAGGCATCTTATTCACAACTCAAATATCATAGAAGAGTATAATGCATTCTCAGGATCCCTGTTGTAATTTTCAGTCATTAACCCTTTGGAGACGACGCGGCCAAAATATTGGCCAAACACAAAGTAGCCAAAAGGACGATGGGCCTCTCGGTCGGCCCTATATATTGGCTGGCAGGTTTTTGTACCAGCCAATAAGACTGCTTCTCGCATTTCTTGCAAATGTGGGCTGTTCATTGACAACTTTCAAAAAAGTTTGATATGTTTTGTAATTTTACATCAAATTTTTTCTGGGGTTACCTGGGCCCAAAAATGGCAAAAAGGACTGTTGCGTCATAGCAACCAAAACATAGCTGGAGGCAGGAAAATTCATAGAACCATGTGCCAGACATGTCTGAAGGGCTTCCAAGGACCTTACTTCCTAAAATACAGGTGTTATTGCTGTATGCTAACAACAGAGACGCAATCTGGCCTGTTCCAACCACACTGAAGACAAAACTGTATGGTACACCAGAGGATATGGATTGCACGATATTTCATAAAAGCTACCGGCCTCCTGAAATAAGTATTCTGACAGAAGGATCGAAGAAGAAGAAGAAGAAGATTGCTTATTCAAGTTTCATCCATACAAAAATCCACCCACATTTTTCAGGTTCGTTATGTTTGTTCCTAAGTTTTAAAACAAATTGCTTGCATAAATTATGCAAATCAGAATAGTTGATTTGAATAAATTTTGAGATTTGTTTGATTCATGAATGAATATTCTGTTAGTTCATTTAATTCCGTATATGAATATATAAAGTTTTGTATACGTTAATTAAACGCTTTATTTTTTATAATTTTGTTTGAATAAACTATGAGAATCTCCTCCTGAAGGCTCTTCTTGGCACAGAAACTCCAAAAAGACTGCATCTCCAAAGGGTTAACAACTAGATTGAAACCTCACATGTCAAACAACAATAACCTTTTTATGAAAGACATTCCATTTACTTGTCCATAAGTATGCAGTCAACTCTGTACCATTTGATCTGTAAAAGGATGCCAGAGCATTTATAGAAATATCCAAAGTTATCTTCTTCAGCCTCTCATCCCACTGGAGAAGTGGTCCTCAGTTAGCTCATCTCAAGCACTTTGTTAACTTATTCATCTTTGGTTGGATTTTGCATCTAAGGTTTTCTATTGGATGGGATAGCATGTCTCCCACAACCCTCCTTAGCCATCTCTTACAGTGTGTCTGGTACATCATAGTTGGCTACCTTTGTGTCTGATAGTAATATACATTTATGTGAATGTGGTACTTAACCAGAAACCAACTGTTACTATAAAAAGTGATAATGTAGTAAATGTTAATGATTACAATCATCAGGTGGTCTGGAAAGATGTCAGGGTCTCTTCTTCCTTGAGTTCCAGTCAAGGTTTGGTACCACA